AAATCCACCCACCACCACTTGTGTTGTCGGTAGGGATTGGACATAATGAGACCTGAACCCAGACCCGTTTATATATAACCGATGCTCGTTCTGGCGAATCTCGATTTATCTCTTACGGCATAGGTAGGCAGGAACAATATATGGCTTACTAGGCAGGCAGCTCAGCGGCTCAGCGGGCCAATTGGAATACTCTGGGACACACAACACTGACCTTGAAGATTCCCCCTTCAAAGACCTCACATTGAAAGCGTCCTTTTCATCATGGGCTCGAGGCTAGTTATATAGGCACCGGATTTTGCATCTTTCTGACCCCCATCATGGCATTTTAATTTCCCCCATTTCAGGGTCCAACAAATGTCGATCATGGTGCGGGGTGCAGGGCAAGACATACATTCCATGAGGACGCCAAGGTCGAGATCCTCCTTCTCCATGCCGCTCACATCGATGGGAATTAGTGTATGCTTCCGAGCAAGGATCCAATCCAACGTTCGATGTAACAAAATGGAGTCTTCGGAACGATCATGGCAATTTTTTGCACCTGTAGCCTGTAGCCCCTCCCTGCTTTAGTAGGCAGTCTGATGTGTAGGCACTCTCTGTATCGGTCATGCCCAGTCTGACAAGGTTCCCCGTATTGCAAATCCTTCGCCGCCTTTGCTTTGGTCTTCGTCATTGACGAAAATCAATTGAACGACTCCCAGGCAAACACCAACAGAGGAAGAATTATCTTGGTCAAAGCGGCCTAGATATACCGATCCTCGGCTATGGTTATGCGGACAGATATTACCCATTTCTTAGCAACGCTTGACGATTGCCACAGAACGAGTCCTGGGAAAATGCCATTGTCCCCGGGGCGAAAGCCTATTCGGCCAGTCTGGCCTCTTGGCGGCTTTCAGTTTATCTACCCACGGCGCTGCATAACCAAACCTATATGACCACTCGTCTGCGGGGAATGGAGTGCTTATCATGGGGCTATCGCATCGTATTCGCTGCCAAAAAAGCCGCGGCAGAAGAGTTTCGACCGATAGCGACAGTACTGTACAGCAGTACTTACTCCAATGGGCCTTGGCTCGGCCACGTGTGGATAAGCCCGCCGAGGTGCCGAAGCAACAATGGCCTGAGCAAGGCCTGAGGCGCTGGCACATGGACCACTCAGACGAAGGACAAAGGATAAGGCCCTGTCGCATGGCTGCCGGGCTGACCCGGCGGCGTCACGGATGGCCACGTCAGTAAGAGCCGACAGCGCATGTCCCCCAACGAAACCCAGGGGCACCTCAGTCGGGCAACGATTGGGCCCTCGTCCTCGGTTCCCCCCCCCGGTTACTACGCTGTTAGTTGCAACGACCGATCCCCGATCTTTCCCGTTTCGATCCAATCCCCCCATGACAGCAACAGGCCCTGCGGGAACACGGTACGGTATAGCGGACCACATCTCTTAGAAAGAGTCGACCCGACCTCGCTGCTCTTAGTCTCTTGCTATTAGTCGTCAGACGATGGCGTGGGTGACAACCCAACTTGTTGATCTCAAACACATTGACAACATATTGGCCAACGAATACTACTAGACTCGTAGCAAGCCGAGACCTAGCTGGATACCAGTAACTAATATAACAAACACCACGGCCCTCTGAAGCTTCGGTGGATGTTACAGCACTCCAACACACGAACCCTCAACGTTGTCATACCAAGGCGAGACCTCACAACTTCGGTTTCGACATCCCCTCGCACTCCAGTGTCTGGGCCAGGCCGAGTAATTCGCAATGCACGCACTATTGAGCTCTCCTCCGTCCCAGCCTAAGGGCATCCTCAAGAAGCCTAGCGGCCTAGACCTACACATGCGGCCACGGAGTCTATCATCATCATCGAAGAAGAGCACCGCGTTTGACGATGTCGCCCGAGACATTGTGACCGGGGCAGAGGTGCCGCAGAGCCCGATCCCGTCTGCCGAGTACCGCGCCTTCCACAAGGAGTACCGCCAGGAAGCCGGGAGAGCACTCCTACTCGCCAAGATCGACGGGATTTACGACGAGATCGTCCGACGGCTCGAAGTGAAGGTGGAATCATAGCTCGGCATTCCTATTTCCTTCTTCCTTGTTTCTCCTTCCCCATGACAAACCAACTCTGGGGATAGGAAATAAAATCTCCCAAACGACAGATACGTTATGGCGTTATGCTGCGATGTACAACAAATGTTGTGCCAATTCGGCCTTCTTTTATACCATACCCCCAGGGCGACAGAACCGTTCGACAGATTTTCTACGTTACATTGCGTTTTGCGCTGCGTTTCGTTACGCAGCACCACCACTCCTACGACGGTCGATCGATCTAGGTTACATGTTAGGTGATTAGTTCGAGAATCTCTTGCCCGGCACTACCTACCTACTATTGTGTTGCCTTATCGGGTCGAGCCGCGTCCACTCGCACGCCAACAGGTCCTTCGGCGGTAGCTACGGACGGAATGAAAAAAGGGAGTAAAAGAGGAAATTAAAAAAATTACAACATAAAAAAAAAAGCCGAAAACGAACCATGTTTAACAGATAGGTAGAAAAAGGACGGCAACGCGGGAACGTGTAAGCTAAGCTACTAGTCAAGATAGATTGGTATCAGGTCAGGCCGGGTCGGGTCGGGTCAAGTAGGATCAAGGCCCCAGATTGCCCTCTGCGTGATACCTGCCTGTCTACCTACACCAGGTACCCGAGGAGATGTTCATTACAATATTAATACGTTATTATTTTTCATGCGCAAGAATGCCCCTCTGTATCACACTGCCCAGTCCACACATACTTACTTATTACATTACGCCCGTCTCCTCCGCCTCTCATAACCAGGTACTCAGCCAGCCAGCCAGCCAGCCAGTCAACACCGGCCCAGGTTCCCCACCTTTCCCCCCCTTTACTTCTTCGTCCTCACCATCGGCACGCAAGGCGGCGGGGCATCGCCGTATCTGTGCCCGAGGTCGCGTGCCGCGAACCCCGCGCCCTCGAGTATCCCCATACCGCGCCCGCCGCCGTCGAGATAACACGCGTAGCCGAGATCGTCCGCGAGCCGCGCGACCCAGTCCACGAGCGCCGTGGCGTATCCCCTGCGACGCGCCATCACCTTGGTCATCAGGAACTCGATGTCTGCGCGATTATCCCGCGTCAGCTCTGCTTTGCATAGTATGATACCCGCATATATAGAGCGGGACCGGGCGGATACGAAATGAACCCGTGGGACCAGACCAGACCAGATGAGGTGTCGTCGTCGTGCCAGGACATGAAGGAGGGTATGGCGTCATGGCGGGAACAGGTAACAGGGAACAGGGAACATCCACTTACACACGTGCCCCTCTCTGCCGATGGTCAAGTGATGCGCCCTGGCCAGGGGCTCGAAGAAGGCGGCCAGGCGCTCCTCGCTGAGGCCGGGGAGGTCGTCGGGGGAGCCCCACCGCCGCTTCCACGAGCTGCTGCCGACGACGCCCGCCTGGCCCGGCTTGACGACGTGTACGATGGCGAAGGAGAGCGGGCGGCCTGTCGAGGTTTCTCGCGGTTAATCTCTTTCAACTCAACTCGGCTTGGTGAAGGATTGGGTTGTTGTTGCTGGCGCGAAAATGAATCTGACTGACAAGCATCGCGAAAAGATGTGAGATGACATATGTACAGATGAATAGCAGACGGGCAGATTGGTAGAACGACAGGTTTCTTCCCGGGGGGGAATTAATGATAGAAAAAACCTAACAAGACAAGGCCGCCGCCGCGGCGCAGGGCAAAATTACATATGCTCACTCGAGTGATAGATTTTCTCAAGTAAAAAGAAATAAAGAAAAGGCAGTAAAGAAAGCAGCACACGTACCATTAGCATTCCGCACAACAGGCACCTTGCTCTCCGGACGATAATACGAGGGTCCGCCGAGGAAGTTCCGGAAGCCGCGCTCCAGCCACGCGCGGCCGTCGTCCGTGTGCGGGAACGTCGACTCGCCCGGCCCGCTGAAGGCCTCCCAGAAGATGGCGATCAGCTCGGGGATGTCGTCCGGTGTTGCCAGGCTGACTTTGATCCCTCCACCTCCGCCTCCGCCCACTTCTCCCATTTCTCCTATTCTTGCTGCTGCCGCTGGCGGCGGTGGTGATGCTGGCGATGCAGGTGGTGATCTTGGTAGTGCCGTCTTGCCCTTCTTGTCGCGCGTGTTCGTCGCCATCGTGTGTCTGACTAGTCCAGCTCAGTTATCAACTCACGTATCTCCTTCTCGAACAGCGGCTCTGTGCAAGTCGTCTTCAGCACCTATCTGATTCGCTTCGTATTGAGGCGGGCAAGAGAGAGATATGCCACTGGAAATTTGAGTGGTTCCAGTCAGAAGATTCGTGATTGCGTGAAGTAAGTGTTACGATGAATGAAATCAACGCTCGAGACTTGTACGTGAACTCTCATCCCGTCAACGAGAAACATAGCATATAGCATGGGCCACCCCTCCCCCCAATCACCCAACGTCCAAAGTTTATCGAAGTCATCTATTATCGTATGAGCTCCCAACAACAAATATTTTGCTTCTGTCCCGAAACGAGATGTCATCGCGTCATCGATGTATGCATGTCATTTGTCCGTAGTGTGATGTAATGATGAGCGCAGGCATCAACTTACATGGATCTTGTCACGAAATAGAACTGTAGCACTATACCTGTACACTACTTGAACCCTGTAGTTACTTATAGGTACCGTGACAGATCTAGGTACCAGGCGAGAGGCAAGTATGTGAAGGTGTCAAGATGGCTAAAGTAGAACTTATGCTCTTGAACTGTTTTCATAATAGATATCAACACGGCGCACGTATCGCGATGAAGTACGTACTCGTACTTGAATCGACTTGCTCGATATCGTACCACGATAAGAAGTTTGCAGAGACTTTGAACAGCAGGAAGACCACTGAGCACGGATGTCAATACGTAATTTTTTTATACCTTGCTTGTAATTATCCCCCTTTTTTCCACTACGTAAACTATCATAGAAGGTCGCGTTTTTCAATACCATTCGCCTGGTTAGCTCAATCGGTAGAGCGTGAGACTCTTAATCTCAAGGTTGCGGGTAAGTGCTTTCAAAAAAAGAGAAAAAAAAAATGCTATAAAATGCTTTCCGGCCTAATGCTAACCCGAACTAATAGGTTCGACCCCCGCATTGGGCTCAATTCCTGATGCCTCCCAGATCAACTGGGAGTAGCAACCAATAATTTTTTTCCTTCTCCTTCTCTCTTCGCTACCCTTTTCTCGTCTCCCTTTTTCTTTTTGTCTAGTGCTCTTAAGACGGAATCATCTGGCTTTTTCTTCTTCTTCTTTCTCTGTCTTCTTTTTCTTTATAGAGCCTAGATAGTTGTGCGCAATAGAGTACCTGAATTAGCCGTACAGAGCCCTAACCAATGGTATTCTTTCTCCTGCAGTAGGTTCGTCGCCGCTAGCTCGCCGCTGGCCATTCATCGATCGTTTCAAGTTATTGCTAACTAGGTACTAGGTAGGTACCTGGGTTGGGTGGTTATTCCCCGCACCAGTGCGGTTGGATTGCGGGTAGCTCGCTGTACAAATTATACGCCTCGTTAGTTATTTTCGTGTAACTGTCTTGAATTAGGGCTTGGCTAGCATATGCACTGATCGCTGCCAAGTTTTCTATGTCTGTGACAAGGGCTTGGAACTTGAAGTTCAATTCAGCTAAAATCCTCTTTAGTCTTCTAGGTCCGTTAGCTTCCCCTACCTTACCACAGGAGGCTCGCCGGGACTATTTATATATGGCTTCTAGACCAAGGCTACGCATAACCTCGAACTTCCTATCCCTCATTGTGTTGGGCTAATATATCTCTTTCTAAAGGATCCCAATCCATCTGAGGAAAAGGGCTTCAATCCCTTACTAGTCTGGTCTCGGAGTAGCAGATCTTCGTATCCCTAAGGTAGCTTCTAGGATACTCGACGTAAGGTCTTTGGGCCATGTAATAATGTCGGCAATAGTTATCAGTATAACTGTCAATAATGATTCAATCGAATGAGCCAAAGACAGGACAGCCAATAATGGAGTAGTGATTGAACACTTAAACGTGTGGCTCACACGGTAGTCCACTGGCTGGCGAAGACGCCTAACATGACACCAACTTCTGATAGCCGGATACTACTCCCGCTGTCATTAGGTGATGTAACTATTTCCATCATGCTTATCTAGTATAGGAAGGAGGCCAGTAGCTTCTTAACCGAATCAAAACGGACCCATCCGGTCGGGAACCACGTTCTGCGCTAATGTTGCATCCTCTGTACCTATCACCCCTCTTCCTTCGCATTTCTGGCGAGTATTATATCTCTGTTCAGCGAAACAAAAACCCTTGCTCATACTGTCCATGTACGCTACAATATCTCGCGCGAGAGTGACCTGAATCGCACACTGGACAGCATAAGGCGGGCTCCCATGGCTGAGCTGGCACTTCGCGACCGCGTCCTGATTGGGGTTGTTGTGATTGTAGTGGCCGTCTGGGCAGTGCAGCAATTATTTTTCACCGTTCGATATCCATCAAATTTGCCCAGGATTGGCGGCAAGTCTCGCTTTGATCTGCGGACACGACGGAGGTACCACAAAGAAGCTCGCGAACTATACAAGGAAGTCTACGAAAATGTGAGTGCTGTCGTATGAAATACTGCGGCTGATGCTGTGAAACCGGCAGCTGATTGCTGACAATAAACATGTAGTACTCGAAAAAGGGCAAGACTGTGCTAGCTCCCGGGCTTGGGTTTCACGACGACATCATCCTACCACCGAGCGCTCTGCGATGGCTACAACGCCAGCCTGAGCGCCTCGTGAGCGCGGCTGCCGCACAGACTGAGACTATCCAGCCTTACTATGGCTTCGGCCATGATAAGTTCGCCACTGACCCTTGGGGGGGCCTGCTCGTCAAGACGGACCTCAACGCAGTTCTAGAGAACGTTTGTGAGGCCATGAATGACGAGTTGGGCCTCGCGATCGATTCTCACTTCGGAACCGATGTCAAAGCCTGGAAAGACATTGACCTGATGCCTACGATCCGCATGATTGTAGCTCAAGCTGCGACTCGCTTCACCATAGGAGGATCGCCCACTGGCCGCGAATTATGTAGGTGACTTGCCATTTTTTGGTTGCGCTTCTCGTTGAAATGAACTGAACACTGCTAAATACACCCGTAGGCCGAAATGAAGAATACTTAAAAGCATGTCTCGACATCGCGGATGCGCTTGTAAAGAATGCAGGGTTAGCTGGTGCAAGCCCGAAGCTCCTTAGACCAATTCTGGGTCGCCTTACTGGTAGAGCTGCCCAGCGAAAGATCAAAGACCTTGAGAAGTTCTTTGAGCCAGTGTACCGGGAAAGGTTGCAGATACTAGAACAGGAGGCCGAGAACCCAGGGATGGAAACCATTGAGGATCACCTTCAAATCATGTTGCGTTACGGGCTGAAAGAGCGCCGGGAAGAGGCGCTCAATGTGCACGACATGACGAAGAGGCTATGCATTGCCAACTTTGGCTCGATGCACCAGACCACCATACAGGTTGTAAACATGCTGCTCAACATTATAGACTCGGATGCCGAGTTCGATACTATCTCGATCTTGCGCGAGGAGGTCACTCGAATCATTGGCGATGACAAGGGACCTGTCTGGAACAAGAGCAGAGTAGCAGCCATGACACGAGCTGACAGCGTGGCCCGTGAGACGCTCCGACTGCACTCTTTCTCATCGCGCAGCGTGGTACGCAAGATTATGGACGACGGACTGGTGACTGAAGACGGGATTGCTCTCCCTAAAGGGTCCACGGTATCATTCATTTCCTACACGACACAGACGGACGGCGATATATTCGAGGACCCGTTCAAGTACGATCCATTCCGGTTCTCGCGTGCCCGGGAGGAGGACATGGATGAGCGGGGAAAGTCTAGCCTCACTGGCCTGAGCTTCGTGTCGACGGGAACGCAGAACCTCGCGTTCAGTCACGGCAAGCACGCCTGTCCCGGCCGGTTCCTTGTTGACTTTGAGCTCAAGATGATCATTGCATACGTGTTAATGAACTATGATGTCGAATTTCCTCCCGAATACAACGGCAAGAGACCGCAGAACCATTGGGTTACGGACGCATACTTCCCGCCAGAAGATGTTAGATTGCGGGTCAGAAGGAAATAATGTCTAGGAGAGGCTATGGGGAAGCATTGCCTTGATTCGACTCCGTGGTGGATGATAAAGCTGGATTTGAAATTGAGGACGTCTGACTGTCCGAAGTTTTGAGAATCGAATTGTCTATATCAATGCGGGTCGTAGGATACTTGACCCGGTGTATGTATACTCGCGCGACATAGTCAGTAGAGAACCAGTAGAAAATAGGCATCACAGGCGATCCGTCTAATCTGATCCTGACACTGTTCAAGTTCACAATCGCTTGGGTATTGACGAAGGGAATGATGCGCTACAGGATCCGGGTCCGTCGGTAGTGGCGTGAATTTGTTGCCGGTGGCAACGGCATGAGCAGGTGTTAACGGAAACCTACCCGGCACACTATTCTTCAAGGAAACTTTTCTGTCATCTCTTTTACCAACCGCCCTAAACATGAGATGACATTCATAGTCAAAGGATCTAACGCGCTGCTCAGTAGTTGATTATTGCTGAATCCTGGGTGGTGCCTGTGTCAGTCAGCCAGCTTAAGCTTAAGTTCAGCCCAGGCAGGCACTGGAACTTGATAATTAGCATGTAGGTGTATTGATTAAGTTGCGCTCCAGATATGGCTCGCCGTCAGGATTCACTCGGAACCTGGGCCAAACCTAGAACCTAAAATACGCATCATTGTCACAATCTATTCAATCCAAAGCCGATAGAATGGCGAATACTGAGATTCATGTCGAACTGGGTTTCTTCCATCTTTTTGGGTCGGCCGCTGACTAGAGATGGGAGATGTACCCATCCAGCCAACCGCCGAGACCAAGGTTCATGCACAACCTAATGTAGTGTACCATTACCATGCATGAACCGTAGCGATGTCCCCGTATGGTTTATTGGCTGCTGCAATGTAATCCGGCTTCTGTACCGGAACCAGGGCTGTTCCTTGCAGGTCTTACTTTGGAGGCGGGGGGTCTCCTTATACTAATCCGGTACGGTGCGACATATTGTGTACTTATGGCAGGGGTGGCCGATGGAAACAATGATAGAGTAGATGAGAGACAACGATTCAGATGGCTTCTTAGCAAGTGCCACAAGATAGGCTAGTATCGTCCTTATTCGTAAGGATGGATGAATTAGGGACGAATGAAGAAGGAGAAGAGGGAATATAGATCAAAGGGAATAAATATGATGAGAACTTACGGTATTGGCTGATTCCGTCACGGTGTCATTTCCTGTAGGATAGCTCAATGCGGCGCGAGAGTGTTGGTGGCGTGGATTTCATGATTTAGGTATTTATATTATCGGAAGAAATTATCTGGTAGGAATGAGGTACGTCAATGTACCCGAAGTAGTAGCTACAAAAGAAGTAGCTCCTACCGAAACTACATGATGGCCCAGGTACCTACTTTGTATACAGTATCTAACACCTGAGATCTAGGTATCTACAAGTAACTTCCGTGTGGCGCAACTTCCATACACCTTCCAGCTGGGCACGGACCACCTGGATGGGGAAGGTCGTCTTGGAGCCAAGCCAACCACAACTTGTAGCTGGGTACCCACCCTGGACCTATGTAGGTTGATTCACCTCATCTCTTGCCTCAATAATGAGCCCTCCTCAGCTCCGCCTCAACTGCTTCGTACTCCTCAGCTAATTACTGCCCAGCTCTGCTCGACAACCCTAATTTGGTCTGTTGCTTCTCCCAGCGTGACCCATCGAGCCGGTGCTCACTTTCCAAGTGGCGAGTCAGGTCGACATTCTTGATGAAGACGAGGCACAGTCCGAGAGCAATGACAGAGAGGCCAAGGTAGAAGGAATAGAGCCCCGTGAATCCGTACTTGTAGGCCTCCAACACGTTGTCCTTGTAGGTGCCGGGGGGCAGCTTGTGCAACACGCCGATGTAGCTCTCGGCCTCTTTGGCGATCTCGACCGGGAGCCCGAGCCACCGGAGCTTGAGTGCCATGACGTTCTGGAACGCCGTCCCGCCGATGCCGACGCCGAGCGCCATGCCGAACTGCCGGACGAAGGCATACATGGA